GCACCGAAGTTGGAGAGGAGCACAGCGCAGCAGCGCGACCCGACAGCATCCGCACCCCTAACCCCCAGGCCGTGCAGCCCCGACCCCCCGCCCCCGACAGCATGATGAACAACAGCGGCTACCCGGACGCCTCCGGCTTTGGCCTGGGCGACGAGGCGGACGAGATGCCGTCCACCGAGAAGGACTTGGCTGAGGACGCGCCGTGGAAGAAGATTCAGCAGAACACGTTCACGCGCTGGTGCAACGAGCACCTCAAGTGCGTGGGCAAGCGCCTGACGGACCTGCAGCGCGACCTCAGCGACGGGCTGCGGCTCATCGCCCTGCTCGAGGTGCTCAGCCAGAAGCGCATGTACCGCAAGTTCCACCCGCGCCCCAACTTCCGCCAGATGAAGCTGGAGAATGTGTCTGTGGCCCTCGAGTTCCTGGAGCGCGAGCACATCAAACTCGTGTCCATCGGTCAGTGTGGGCATGGCCACAGCCGGGGGGGGGCTTGTCCCTTAGGAGCAGAGGACACAGGTGCTCAGTGGGCCCATGGGGAGCTAAGAGATGGGAGAGGGAGGGCCCCCTGGCCGGAGGGGCCCTGGGCCCTGCCTCTCCCCCATTGATGCAGCCACCCTGGCACTTTGACACTTCCCTGTGGACAAAGGACACTCCCTAGGTGGCCAGGAAATCTAGACCTTACCCTTTCTGATCCCTGCAGCTAAAGCCTCCCCTCCATACTTCCACCAACCTGGGGTCACTCGCTGTCCATGTTCCTTCTATTGGGCAGTCCCCATGTGTGCTTAAGAAGACATTACTGATTCTGGGGGTATCTACCCCACACCAACAACGCAAATGGCTTCCTAGCACCCCCCCACCCACACACACACACACACAAGGAGTGGACTGAAGATAGGTCCCAGCCACACACCCTCAGCCTGGGTCTCCCAGTTCTGAGGCTAGGGAGAGCTGGTGGCCATGCAGCACTGCCAAGGTTCTCCATAGGCTGTGCTCAGCATCTGGGTTCAGCCTGGATGGTGCAGGCAGGGCCCATCCTCAGAAAAACCTAAAAAGGCACTGAACAGTGGCAGGCAATTTAACCCTTGCCTGCCCTTCTCCTGCTTCAGTTTGCCTAGAAGGGGCTCCTGCCTCTGAATGCCCTGCCCAACCCACACCCTGTGCCTGGGATTGGCTGCCATGAACAGTCTGGGCTTGAGGAAGGAGGGAATGGCCTGTGGAAGGGAGAAAGTCATTGAGTGTAACCAGATTTGGAAGGTGTGTCGGTGCTGGGTGGAGGTGGAGAGGCCTCCAGCCTCTGGATCCCACTAGCCCAGGGTGGGCTTTGGGTGGTAAGAGGCTGACCTGCCTCTCCCTTTGGCACCTTCATCCTGGCAGGTTGGGAGACTTCAGCAGAGCCTCTTCCCACACCTGTGGTGAGCTTTTAAGAGCCCTGCTGTGAGCCCCCTGGAGAATGCTTCCTAGGGCTCTAGTAGAGTTGCACTTGGGGCCAGGTGCCCCCCAGTCTAGATAACTGGAGGCCTGGCCACCCCCATTCTCCCTCAGGGCCACCTCCAGGCCTCCTGAATTAGCAGCTGAGGTCAGTCCAGGGGCCCTTTGCCCTCTCCAGTCCCCTCCCTAGGCCTTACCTCCTGCTGCCCCAGTATTGCTCCCCCACCCGCCAGTCCTGGCCTGGAAATAGCCCTGTCTCCGTGACACA